TTTCTCTGTCTCTCACACACCCAGAACACTTACCTTCCCATAAAACCTTGCAGCTTTCCCCAGAAGGCTAAAACACAGTTTACTTGAACAAAAAGGTCATTACCCAGTTTTGGCTATCAAAGTATACTTTCTAGGAAGGCAACTATGTTTAAACCTAGGTTTTGTTGAAAAATAATTGAGGAAATCAGAATTTCCAAAACATCTATTCACTTATCAACTGTTGCTAGAGCTAAACTTGAAGGGTGACTCTAAACAACACATAGAGAGAAATGCAAATGGCTGAACTGCGTTTTGGTCCGGGTACAGATTCCTCATGATCACAATCAAGTGTTCCGGAATACTCATACTTTTCAATGTTGTCAATAGCTTGTCATGATCCACACAATTGAAAGCCAAGATCCATAGAACATCAGCAATGATATCCCTTGTTCCACGGCCTCTTCTGAATCCACTTGAACCTCTGGTAATTCTCTGTCAATGTATGATTTTTTTTTTATTTAGAAGCTGCCATACCCAGCTTCTAAATAAATATTCCAGCTTCCCTCTATTCATTAAATATTTGGGTCACCTGCTTTCTGCCAAAGGTGTCACATTAGACCCCAAATGGAAAACAGCAATTCTTAGCTTCCCACCTCCTAAAACCAAGATGCAATTGAGAAGATGTTTAGGGTAGTGCAACTATTCTTCAAAATGGATTCCAAATTTTTCATGAATGATTGTACCCTTATATAAATTAATAAAGAGAAAGGATCCTCTGTTTCTGGGTATGCTGTTGTTGTTGTGAAATGCTGTTTAGTTAGTTCTGACCCATAGCGACCTTGTATTGGTTTTTTGAGGAGCAGCTAGTGAGCGTGAACCTCCGACCTTGCAGTTCAAACCGCTTTGCAGTCTGGTGCATTAACCCACAGCACCACATCAGGACTCTGATTCTGGGTATAGATGAGAATAATTCTATTGATCATTTTAACTTTGCTCTACACTCTGTTCTCTGTCCTGGAGTGCTAATACAAAAGCATAACAGTTAGCAAAGACCAGTAGGGTATTATAGTTTGCAACTAGATCCAGTGGATTGTTCACTACTCCCTTCGGTTATAAACTACAGAAACCACTGGAAAATCAATAGAAAATACTACTGATATTGGGAAATACTCTTTGTTTTTGTTCTCCGTGCAATCAAAGATTTGTTCAATTCTGAGGCACTCCATCACATATCCACCAGTTGAATGTCTCCCTATGAAGCTATTCTACTGTCTCCTCCTCCTGTTCACATTCACATTCAGCTTGTCAAAGCCTGAAACCAGACACTTTATTTCCTGTCATGACACATCAATGGATGACTTCCTAAATCTAATGAACAGTTACTAACTCCTAGGACTGATTTACAAGAAACTGCTTTAGAGAACACTGACCTTGTTTTATTTGTAGCTAGGTCATATCTTAAACCTCCTCCAGTCTTCTACAAATTTCAGACTAACTATGCCATAATCTCCCCTACTAAAGTGACAAAAGTAGGACCCCTCCATAAAGCCACCTCAGTCTACTAGCACAGCTACAGGCTCTGAGTCAAGTCTGCATATTAGTAAAAGGTCTAATGTCTCAATTCAAAACACTATCATCAAGTCAATTCCTACTTATAGCAAACCTATACAGGGTTTCTGAGACTCTTAAGTATTTACAGGAGCAGACAGTCTCATCTTTTTACTGCAAATCAGCTAGTGGGTTTGAACTTGAAGTTATTAGCCCAACACTTAACCCACAGCACCATCAAGATCAACATTTATTCACACAACTGATATGTGATTGGCTATGCTTCATATTTTGTTTCAAATTTTGAAATCAAGGAGTGAGAGTCTTCCAACTTAGTTCATCTTTGAATTGTTGTATCCTTATCTTTCATGATGTTAGGGAAGTTTTCTTTCATAACTCTTCAACAATACTGTCTGCCCTTTTAATCATCTCTTCCTGTTTGGAAATTCTCTCCGAATTTCCATAAGCTATTCCTCTTCCTGGTGTGCCACATAAACCATAGGCTTTTTTCCAATTTATTCATTCTTTTTTCTGATTGTTCTTCTAGCTTGATAGTATTGAAAGATTTATCTCACAAGTCACTAATTCAGGCTTCCCTTGATTTAAATATACTCCTTTGTCCTTTTGATGGATTATCCATTTCTGAGATCTTGTATTCATCTTCTGGATTTCTATTTGCAAATTTTGTATTATTTCAAAATTTGCATTTATTTTGTTCATTTGTTGTGGTAGTTTTCCCCAAATTCTTCTAAAGTTTTGTCTGTATTCTCTCTGCTTTTCCTGATCTTTCTGTCATTCCACTAAGGGTATCTAGATATCATTCTTTTGAATTCTTTCTCGGGCAGTTCCACTGCCTTTTCTTCCTCAGAAATGTTTTCTGCCTCTGCATCTTGATGATTTGTTTGAGCCACCCTCTTGTTTCTTCATGTGAGTTCAAATCTTCTGTTGTCTCCTAGACTGTGGTGTCATTGTATTTGTATTAAAATAATGAGGGCATGTTGTTGTGTTTTAGGCTCTCACCAACTATCTCCTGGGGGGTGTGATCAGAGAATGGGAATGTGTGCACCGTTTTCTGCTTGTCATTTGCACAGTTCAATTTAGGGTGAGTCTGGCTGACATTGACTGATGTCTATCATTGATCCAATGGTATAGGAACTAGTTTTGACTCTTGTCCAGTGGGTGGAGCTTCAAAGGATATGGTTGTGGCTGAGCTGTATGGACATGTTTGCTGTCTCCCTCTTGGTAGGGCAAGAGGA